GTACCCGACCCGACCCGGTCTCCGAGTACAAAAGAAAAACCCAAACCCGACCCAAAACCCGCTCTTATCGGGTATACCCGACCCGATTTTTACCCGACCCGGTGGGTTTTTCTGACAACCCTATTTGTTATGTGGGGATAGGTATATATGTTCAGAAAAGACTTGTTTTTACTTAATTTGGTTTTCAAACAAAGCAGTATAGTTAAAAACTTAGCTTATAAGCTAATTCATAGATTATAAGTGAATTTCGAGCTTAGAGTTGATATTTTAGGATTTATGGTTGAAAAAATTAACTTCTATGATAAAAGTGTTAAATAAAAGTAGTTGATGGGCTTGTTGAAATAAAAAATTTAACGGTTTTATTTAAAAAATTACCTAATAAAACTTATTAAGATAAGATCGAGCTTTTTAAAAATTTTCAACTACCAAACCAAGTTTATGCAACAATTGTTCCAAAAAAAAGGGAAAACAAAAATAGAAAACTCTAAGAAGAGAATGGTAACTTTAGATTATCTCGGGTAAGACCCGACCCAGGCCAATATTTTGCAACCATAGAAACCAGATGTAACAATTCGAGCTCGAGTTTCAAATACTCATGCTGAACTAAATTCGGCTCGTTAACTGTACGAGTCAATAAATGAGTTCGAACTTAGTTTGTTCTCAAAATTAATGAGTCTAGAAGCTGAGCTAAGTTTGAGTCGTTAACTATACGAGTTGTTAAACAAGCTCGAATTCGGTATCAATGTTAACGAACTCACCTCGAGCTCACCTCGTTTATCTAATGCGTTGAGTTGAACTCACGATCGACTCGCAAGAGCCATCCCAATAATCAACTACTAAAATATTTGTTTTTAACTTTGCTAACTCCTTCAAGTATTTATTATTTTTAATTGTGCAAACTCCGCCGTTCACAATTCCCGCGTGAGAAAATTATATAAGCGCTAATCACTCTTTCAATCTCTTCAAATTCCCCCAATTCGTCGGTTTGTTTGTTTCAGCCCCTGATCCCATGAGCTCTGCCGGTGAAGGCAACCGTGGCGGCGGCGGACGTGGTGGAGGAAGGTACTATGGCGGTCGCAGCGGCGGAAGGAACCGTGGAGGCGGCGGCGGCGGAGGTGGTGGCAGAAGATATCACGGAGACGCAGGAGGTGGTGGCTGGAGGTACCAGGGATCCATAGGGCAATCGCCTAGGCCTGTGTATCGATATGTCGCTCGTCACAGCCCTGTAATTTTTATCATCCCCTTATTGATTCGTTACTTACCAATTCTTTCTTTCGTTTCTTCATTGGTTGCGAATACCTTTTTATGTTCACGCATTGAAAAAATTACTGGTCATTATGATGGGCAGTTGTAGAATTGTCACTGTACCGTACTTGGGTAGAAATTATACAGGAATTTATTATTATGCATGGATTTAGACCTTTTTTTTCATATGATGACGAGGTTTTCGAAGTTTGAACACAAATGAATGATTGTGATAGAAGTAAGGTAAAACAGTCGAAAGAGTGGTGTTATTCTGTGTTGTGTATGTAAGTTATGTGCTTATTATATGTATTCATGACCATCTGAGGAACTAATATGCTAGAAAGCACTAGTTTTAAGATTAGTATTGGCATTTACTATCTCAAGGTTTCAGGTTGTAGCTCATCAGGATCACGCGTCACAAGAAAGTGGGTCTTCTGAAAGCTATAGAAATAATTCTCATATATCACCGGTTGATGATTTAACAAATAAATTGAGTGAGTTTTCTACAAATGGTCAGTCGTACGGGCCTAGTCTCATAACCATTCAATTTGGAAGCATGTCCCCAGCTAATAGAAGCCTGAATGATTCACTAGCAGAAATCGAGAGGCCAGAACCTTTAGTACCATCTACAGTTGATCCAGTGTCATTACCGACCCACTCAGAGTTTGATGCAAGGACTGGTCAGATGTTTTGGTCCAGAGATCAGGGTGAAGAAGAACAGAGAGAATCATCATGTTTCACCCCCAACCTCCTTGGTGGTGTGACAGATAGCAAAATGGGACCTTCTTTGGCTGTGAACTCTGGTTTTCAAGATATTCACATGGAAACTTCTGGGAAAGTTGAACTTGAGAAGTCCGATTCTCAAAAAAATGGTTTTCCTTTTGATATATGTTTGGAGAGAAATAGGAATATTCCAAAGTTGAAATGCTCTCTATTTGATAAAAACCGAGTCACGAGGAGTGAATTGAAGCGTCGTGCGCAAGGCGATTATGTAAAGACTTTGAGGCCTGGGATGATTATTCTAAAGGGTTATCTATTGTTAGAGGATCAGGTGAGTTTACCTCGTATTTTGTACTGTTTGCCCTGTGTTGCACTGTTGCTTCTATCCTTTTTAACATATTTGTCGAATTTGGTTGGAGTTTGCATTCGGTGATAGAATGCCGGATACTGTTGTGTTGTCGTATCTGTGTTATTTATAGTTGCTTAATTTTAGACAGCAATAAGGCCCGAAAGGTCTGGTTAAAATTATCTAACTTACTTAATTGATTTGTTTCTGGATAATTGTAGTTGTGTGGACTAGATGACGGGTTATATATGCAGTGGTGAGGGAGTAACTTGCTCAATCGGGCTCCCATTCCCAAGAAGAAAAGGAAAAAGTAGAAAATCTGATTGATAGATTGCTCATTTATTTTATACAGAAAAGAATACTATAAATGCTTAAGAAGAAGACTTAGCTTTGTACTAATCCTTGCTATTTTTTGTTTAGTCACTGCTTCCTTGCATGGTTCGTTAAGCAGCTTATATCCTATACTCAAATTCCATCTGGGGTTATCTGTGTCTATTTAGGTGATGCAGCAGATCTGTGATGGGAAATTGTATTGCGAGAAGTTATATTCTCTGTATTGAAGAAACCGATTTTTTCTTAATCTGATAAAAACCGTCTTACACAATAAAGCAACTGTAATAATATAAGTTCCAACAAGTCCTAAGCCCAAACATAAAAAAACCAACATGAAAGAAAAAGCTCAACATAAAAAGAAAAAGCCCAACATAAAATACAATGAAACTAGAAGACGGAGTCGATCATATTTGTTGAGATATGCTAATGCAATCTCGTCGGCATCATTAGGTCAAACTGATAAAGACATGCCGAGAACTTGGTCGCGGTCGAGGAGGTTTTTACCAACCTGGTTTCTGTGGTGGAGCAATATTAAAATTGAAAATGATGTGTCTTGGTAAAAACTGGGATCCCGAGACAAACATGTACGGTGATAGGAGGCCAGTTGATGACTCCAAACCTCCCCCTATCCCGGACGATTTATTGAAATTGGTTCAAGGGGCTCTTCAAGAATGCCATAGTCATTTGGAGTCACAACCCAAAGTAAGGAAGGAGCGGAATATTATTCCTTCAATGTCCCCAAATATCTGCATCGTCAACTTCTACACCAAGTCAGGAAAACTCGGGCTTCATCAGGTTAGTATGTTCAATACTTCCTAATACATGGTATTTTACGTTATTGATTGTTAAGGTTAACTAATAGTTGTTTATTTCCTATGCTGCAGGATAAAGATGAAAGTGAAGAAAGTCTACGCAAAGGACTTCCAGTGGTGTCTTTCTCTCTAGGGGACTCAGCTGAATTTCTGTATGGTGACCAGAGGGACATTGATCAGGCTGAAAAAGTATTACTGGAGTCAGGGGACGTGTTGATTTTCGGTGGTAAATCTAGGTTGATATTTCATGGGGTCAGTCAGATTGTTCCTGATAGTGCACCTAAGGCTCTTTTGGATGAAACGGATCTTAGACCTGGCCGTCTAAATCTCACTTTCAGAGAGTACTGATAGGTGAGTTGTGGTAATTTTGATTGAGTTCTGTTTTTTCCTTTTTCGAATATGTTTGCCGTATATTTGTTTGTTCGTATTTGATTCTGTTCTGAGCATGTGTGGAAAAAAGAAATTAAAATGAAATAAGTATGCGATTATGTTCTGAGTATTGTATGGCAAGTTATGATTAATAGTTATATGTCGAAGACAAATATTACTTCCATCTTTAAAGTTTATCTCTCATTGTCACTTCTTTAGCAGGGTTCTGACTTACTTCACGGGCACCTCAATCTACGTTTCCCCCATGAATAACAAGGTATGATTTTAAGTTTCTGGTTTGGAATTACAAGTGCATGAACTGTGATGAGCTCAATTGGATCAAGTGTGCGGTTAAATATATTGAAATGTTATAGTAGTGATAGATTGATTCTACAAAACAGTTTTCTAAATTTGAAGTGAACGATTTGAGTTATTTATATTATATATTCGTCTCTTGATGAAATTGGCCAAAGGGTCCTACCGTCCTAGGTGAGGCCAATATTGCAACCTATTTACCCACGCGCTCAGTACTTACATATGGGAAAGACTTGCTAAGGGGTGTGCTTGTTAATAGATTAATTCGGTTTTGATTGTTTTTTTTTTGGTTAACCATAGTTGTTAATTTTGAAAAGGTTGGTTGAATTAGGTTTGAGTTAGATTTTGAGTTTGTATTAAAATAATATTTAATATAAAATATTTAAAGTTAATTTGATGTAAAAGTAGAAGAGATGTAATTGGAAGTGATGAGTAATTAAAATTATATGAGGGAATGAATATTGAATTAAAATTGATGTGATGTGTATGGATAAATGATTGATATTATTTAGTTATATTAAAAATATTAAGAATAGGGAGGTTGAGTTAAGAGTTAGATTTGAGTTGAGATATGATTTTTTTTTTTTTTTTTTAAAACAATCACCCCTAAGAATGTCACCTATGCTAGCCTATTATTTTAGGTGCCTTCATAATGTAAGTACTCATTAAATCCTCTCATTAGATATGCACATTCAAATGTTGAGGTGTTGTTTATCTTAGGTTTACAACTCTTCATAAATTGTAGAGAAACTTTTAGTTCTATGTTAATAAACTGAATCGACCAGTCCCTTGGGGAACTACCCTACTCTATATGTGACCACATAAATACGAAAACAATAGGTCTTCAGTTAGGTCGACATACTTTTCTCATAAACATACATACTTTTATTATAAATTAAGATACCATACACTAAGAAGTATACATTTAATAGTGTAGCTATTTATTTTTGTTCGCATAGTATGACGAGTCGACCTGCTTAACGGCTAGGTCGCCTCACACCAGAATTTGTGATAAGCAAATAAAGAAGTACCCAAATTTATGAGTTATAGCTTGATGGAGACGAGGCCGCGTTGATGTTCTTGCAGAAATATGACCGTTTGCGTGTCTAGCACATTTGTTTTATTGCTTTATTTTCCTTTTGGGTCTATTTATCTTTAGTGGTTGCAATTGTGTTATTTTATTAGTAAAGGGGTGTTTCTTTAATTATTAGGATTTATTGTGCTTTAGTGGAGTTAGTGGAAACTCCTTATTTATGTACTGCGAAGAGAAGAGAAAAGACAGTTTATCGATTAAAATAAAATTATTTGTTCTCTCTTGAGATTGTTCTTTCCCTTTCGTATACATCCTCTACATCAGTTGGTATCAGCAGACCAGCCGACGATCCACGATGCCGCCAAAGAAGGACAAAGTCGTGATCGATAACTCCGTTGATGAACGATTCCAACGAATTGATGAGCAATTCAACGGTTTTGATGAACGATTTGTGGATCTTTCGACGGGATTCGAGGACCTACGACTGACGATGCACACCACGATGGACGAGATGCGTCGAAATCGTGACGTGGCTGATCGGGGCACTCGCGAGGGACACCGCGGTGGTCGAGGAGGTCGGGGTTTTAGCGGGGCGCCCCGCCGCCGATCACCACCACCACCGCCTACCGGTGAAGACTCCGACGACACCTAGACAGTGGAGAACCCTTCCGCTGACGGAATCAACACGCAGGCCCGAGCTCCTGGGTTTCGGATTTCGCGATGGCGGATTAGGGTTTCACGGGAATGGTGGCGGCGGGCTTGGTTTCGCGCAGGGGTGGCGCGATGGAGGAGAAGGACGCTGCCTGTGGGGTCCATGGCAGGCCGGGGCTGAGCAGGTGGATGACCGTACGTTCCGTCAGGAGGGGCTTCAGTCCGATGATGAGGCGTTTGAGGAGGATTTCGGCGAGCTTCGCCGCGGTCGCGGACCTCGGGCAGGAGCAGATTTCTGGCGCGGCGGTCGTTTTGCTTATGGTGCTGGGGCGGATGAGACGTGGCAGCAGCGGCGTGAGGTTCGGCGCCCGATAGATGGTGGCGAGGACTCACGTTGGGATTCGGGGCTTCGAGCTGACATCCCGGAATTTCACGGTAGAGCCCGGTGACTTTGTTGATTGGTGGGCTGCTGTGGGATCGGTATTGGCATTCAAGGCGGTCCCGGAAGATAAGCGTGTCGCATTCGTTGCTACTCGTTTTCGTGGTAGGGCGGCAACTTGGTGGATGCATATTACGAGCATGCGGCATCGTCAAGGGAAATCACCAATTATTTCTTGGATGAAATTTCGTAAGTATGTGGAGGATGAGTTTTTGCCTTTTAATTACGATAGTGTCGTGTATCAGCAGCTACATAACTTACGACAGGGTACTCGTTCTGTGGATGACTACACTAACGAGTTTTATCAGCTATTGAATCGAGTTGAAGTACACGAGACTAAGTCTCAGTTGATTTCGCGATATGTCAGTGGGTTGAGGGTGGCTATACAGGACATGTTGAATATAGTCAAGTCGGAATCCGTTTCTGATGCCCATCAACGGGCCCGTCTTGTTGAACAACAATTGGCCAGGAGAACAAGCTCGACTTTTCCTTTGTCCACACGGTCAGGACCAGCAACCGGGG